CATGAGATTTGAACTAAACACCCTTTTGTATTTTATAAATCTGATTGGAGATTATACAGACATTAACAGAAGGGATTTAAGATTGAAACGATTCGGTGGGTTGAAGAGAGGCGAAAGGAGCACTAGTGGCAACATCGTGAATTTCAGAGATCTCAATCGAAAAGCCAGAGATCCTTGTCCACAAGAGTAAGCGAAAATAAATCTCTTGGAATGGTTTGATTTGAAACTTAGTTCAGTTCCTGGAAGTGAACTCAACTTCTGAAAATGATGTCGTGGATAGATTTTGATGGACATGATACAGTGAAATCGATTACATAATAAGAAGTTCTTGTGGTCATGATATCGTGGATAAGGTTCGGCGGACATAAGTCCCAACGAACATGATTAGAAGCTTCTGGTGGATAAGGTTTGATATAAGTCTTGACGGACATGATGAATCGCGGAGTCGCATTTAGGGTTATCATGATCGAAGAGAGGAGAAAGAAGAAGATGAATTTCGTCGGAGCATCGGCAAAGTGCGACGGAATCAGGGTGAAACAATGTTTTTGTGGGAATGAGTCGGGATGATGTGGCGACAGAGCTCCGACGAGGTTTTGTGACGGCGGCGTGGATAAAGAAGGCATCACCGGAGATTGAGAAAGAGAGGAGAGTTTTGGGAGAATCGTTAAAAGAATAAGAAGAGAGAAACAAGATCTGACTGTGTTTTGTTAAAGATTAAATCTGAACCACATCTTTCATTAAAAGAAAAGTGAATCCAATGGCCACGATTTAACCAAATAAAATTGAGTTGGACGAAGTTCTTAGTTGGGGGTATTTCTGTCATAAAACTGCCTCTTGGCTCGAAAGTGTCTCTGTTAAAAAAAAAGGTTCAATAAATGTCCCCCAGTGTTATTGACTCTTTAATTATTTAGAAACTGAGAATCCTTCTTACAAATCAAATGGATCGTTAACAAACTTGTTCCATCAGATAACAACAAAGCTAGCTCTAATCACTTTACTTGCAAATTTGTTCAATCAAATAACTTGGACGGATCATCTAGTAATTACTTATTGGTAAGCATAAAATCCTGAAAAATAGTCAATCCAAGTGAAATTTTGCATGTTTTTTTTTTGTATGTTCAATTTTGATTAATATTTTCTCTAAATTAGTTGTGATTTTCTTTTCAGTGCAACTACTGGTATTAGGGACAATTGTAAAAATACTATTTTTGGTGTGCTATTTTTTAAAAATGCCACAATGGATTGTTCATTTGCAAAAAATGCCACTAATTATGGATTTTTAAAGCTTAAACTTTAAAATTATAAACCCTAAAAAATGTTTTGACCACTAACAAACCTTAAACCCTCAAAACTAAACCCTAATACAACATAGTTAACCCAAACATAAATAATATAATGAATAAATAATTTTTAAAAAATGACATTTTTGCAAAAAATTTGAAAATGTGGCATTTTTGAAAAGTGTCAATTCAAAAGTGGCATTTCTCAAAATTTCTCTTGGTATAAATTGTACTTTATAAATAGCAAATTAAGGCAACACATTAATATTAAGTATTATTTTAGACAATGAAGATATATAATATATTAATGTTAATAAATATAAAAGAAAAAAATATACAAATGTAGATATAAATTAATATACAAAGATTTTAGATAGATTATTTTCTTAACTAATATGATGGTAAATCATCATCTTTGCATAATATTTTTTTTCTTTTTTAATATCTTAATTAAATATCTATATAGTTTGAAGAATATATATATATATATATAATCCTTTTAAAAATGTATTTATATCCTAAAACGGCTGGG